TTTTCCTCTGGTATGACAACCTATCCAAACTTTATTATCAAGGACAGAAATAGTTATAGTGTAAAAGAAATAAGGTCATAAAAACATGCCGCGCAGAAGAGGAAATGCAGGTGAAAAGGTAGGTATTTTACTATTTCTCTTGACCGTGCATTTTTATTACCTAATTTTGTCTTCTGTCAGTGCTGACACAGCATTACTACACTGAAGGCTATATTTACTGAGTATAATACTCAAGGCAATGTGGGAAAAAACACTCATTTTCCCCCCACCAAAATACTCCGCATTAGAGAGATTTGTAAAGTGTGCTGTTTAGAGGTACTGCAGCGCCTGGAATGCATGGCTTATCTCGGGGGTTTAGAACTCAAGCAGATGGCTCAAAATACACTAGGGTTAGATATACAGTAGTTATTTTTTTAATTCTTCAAAGACAAAAAAGCCGAGGTTGTTGAAGATCCAACCCGGCATGTTTATGGAGATATTAAAAAAAACAAACATATGCACACAGCATATACCACCTGTGTGAAACTCGCAGGTCTCTAACTGTGCACCTTCGGATTTTTTATAGCCAACGTTAATTTCAGTTCCATGTGACTCGAGGAGTGAACTTGGCTGGGGGTGCAAACGACTGTAAGAGTCTCCAGAGGGCAGAGCAGGTATAGTAGCAAGAGTTCACTTGTCTAACTCAGTCACTATGACCCTAACCTGCGCAGGGGGGCAAATGAGGTCAGCAGGAGGCTGAGGCATTTCTAGCAGATTAGCATCCACGATAAAACAAAATTATAGGATATATCGTTAAAAGTGTTTGAATTTCAATCATAAAATATTAAAATCATATCAATTACAAATCAAGAAAATGTATATTGCTGCTAGGGAATCAGTCTAGATGCAAACAGAAACATTCCTGGACTTGAATGTCAAGCTGTCCTCCACTGACAGGCTGAAAGAGTGCACTCTTTTTAGTCTCGGACAGAGAGACTATAAGGGGACCCGATATGAGTATTCGAAATCCTCCAAGGCACTAAGAAAGCTCGTACATTGAACACCTTCGGAATCATAAACATACCAGCGAACAGGAGTCACTTCTTTCCAGAGGTGTGGGAACAGAGCCATGTTGTCTAAGATGACACTTTGGCTTATTTTAAGAAATGGGTGGCAAGACTCAATTCAATTCAACTTATTTTTATAAAGCGCCTTTCACAACAAGGCTGCCCCAAGGTGCTTAACAAAGCAAGTGACCATGCATGTTGTGAATACAGAACAGAAAAGACCAGAAGACAATGGAGGAGAGGAACCACAAAATCCTTAGTAAAGAGAAAAAAAACTTCTAGGGATCCAACTGGCTGCCCAACCTCTTTGGGCATGCTAACATTATACAATAATAAAAAAAATGAATTAAGGTATTAATCCGTCCATCAGTAGACCAGCAAAATCCTCCTAAACGATAGCTATATCCACGATGTCCCTCTTGGATCCATGGCAGTGATGCAGCATCCAGCTCAGATAGTGCCCAGCCCGGGCGCCATCCGCACATGTGGGGAGGAGAATAGGATAGTAGAGGAGAATTGATCCCTGGATCAATTAGCTAGTAAATGGGATAAATGGACAAAACAGCCCCCTTTCATTTGTAGCTCGAATGTGCAATTTTTAAAGTACATTTAGTTATAGAACATGGATCATCAGAAACAATTATTCTCCATTAAATACTTTAATTTTACAATTGGTTTTATGAAAATTATTATTTTTAATACATGTGTTAGAATAAATACAACCCTCGGCATGGTTAAAACACAACAGCTTCATAACCAGGAAAGTTTAAGAGTTGGTCCATATTTAAAATAACATGGTTCATGCAAATCTTAAGACCTTCATACTTCCAGGACTACAGTAACTTTCCAGAAAGATAGGATCAATCTTGATGTAACTGAATTGAGATAACAGCGCTGGCCTTGCATATCATTTGACTCAAACACTGGGTCACCTTCAACTCTGCAAGCTCACAGAAAATGGGGTCAGAATTAGACAATCCCCAGGGACACCAAACAGTCATGAAAATACTATGCATTATAAAATACAGTCTCAAGTATTTTTTGCTACCCAAAGCCAAATATTCACAACAGGTAGTCCAGTCTCTGTTAAGAAATACTTAGAGAATGTACATCTTCATGTTGCCGAACTGCTATTTTTGGAAAATGGGTTTGGGCATTATGTTAAACAGTGCAACAGTAGCTGTGATGGCTATAAACACACACCAATCTAACAGATCTGTTTTTGTTCAAAACAGGAAACAAGCAATTGCTTTTTTGCAACTGTGACATACTGTAAGTGATTTTTTGTTTCAAAGAAAGACCTAACACAGCATAAAACCACGTATTTCTGGTGAGTTGACACAATCATAGATCCAAGGGTAAAACTAAAAATTGATTTAGCAAAGTGTGAGGATGGATTTCCCTGTGCAAAATACCTTGAAAGCACATCAGCTCAGAGACCACATTTCTCAGTGACACCTCGAGGTAGTGAATGAAAGGTTGTGTAATGCTGTTTCTTCTCTTTTGAATATCAAGAATCTTACAGTGTTCTTTTGGGAACTTCGATTTTTCTTATATACCCCCTATCACCACCCACCCTAAACAGTCCACCATGTTCTGCTTACTAAACAAAGCAGGGCAGTCAGAACACAAAGATGTCCCAAAATACTACAGAATGAGTTAGGTACATATTTTTAGAGGTTAAACATATATATGTATGTATGTATGTATGTATGTATAAAATGGGAAACCACTTGTATTTCACCATGGTTTCTCGAAATCCTGGTTTGCTCTTGTTTTTATTGTTTTAAGGAGGGAGGAGACATCCCCTAACCTGGCAAAGTCAGTACTGGTGTGTCAAACCTAGAAGAGTTACTTCAATAGCATTTTTTCTTTCTATACTATTCATGCAATGTTTCTTGTTTGTGAAGCTGATATTTTGTAAAGGCAGTAAACTTAATAAACTGTAATGCAGAACTGATGTACCATATACAGTAGTTCCTGGTTATTTTTTCTTAACTAAAGTAGCTTCTTTCACAAATTCCATGTCTATGTCTTAGGTCGTTGGTGATGGGCTTTATATCACAGATTCTTTGTTAAACATTTTGTTGTACATCCATCACGCATGCGTGCAGGTTGCGTATCCTAAGCCTAAAGTAAGTCTAAACACATTAAAAGGTGAGCTGAAGGGCAAAATGCAAGCCTTATCTACAGCATTTTATATTTTTTCACTTCCTGCTTATAACCAGCTTAGAAGCTTGAATGAGGCAGTCCCAGCAGACTACTTATTGCAGCACATTTCATCTTCAGACCCCTACGTAGGAGTTTGTGCAAGTAGAAGTAATTAAATCACTTGAACTGTACATCCTTCAGACACTTATGTGACTTTTAAGAAAGAGCAATAACTTAGATCATTTTAGATTCTGTTGAAAGAGTCAAGGCAGCACACAGATAGTCAAGAAGCTTTTATGAATCCTCCATAACCAAAATATTTTCATTCACAGACTGACCAGTTCTGGAATCCAGCTCTACAGCATATCAAGAGTGTGGAGTTGTGGTTAGGGCTCTAAACTACAGGCGGAGGGTCAAATCCCAGGTGGGATGCTTTCGTTGTAATATAATAATAAACTTTATTTAAATAGAGCCTTTAAAGGTGGATTCTCAAAGCACTTTACAGAATGACAACAACAATAAATAAAAAGAATACACAACATAAAACGCAAACTGTGAGTTGTACTCCCCGAGTAAGGTGTTCCATTCAAATTCATTTATTTGCTTATTACTTCTTCTGGCAGAACACATCCTGGGTGGGAAGCCTGTCCATAGCAGGGCAGGCACACAGGCTTGCACACACTCACACCAGGACCAATTTTTCCAGAAGCCAATGAACCTACTGGCATGTTTTCTTTTTTAAACTGTGAGAGGAAACCGTAAAAACACCCTTGTAGTTTGACCAGAAAAGTACCTCCAGGTGAGATGAGGACTATGGTATCTGTTGAACCTCTGGTACTACCGATGTGCAAAAGCACCGCAAGGGAACTGAAAGCAGTGGGTTATCGCTTTCTCTTACAAGTCACCTTCACATACTCTCGGTTACACGACAAAGTCAACACACTGGACGTCTTCAGAATGAACAGGTTAACACAAACCAATGAATGGCAACAGGTCAGGTACAAGTACAAAACATTCTCAGCTTTTAACTCTAAAAATACATTTTATTCTACACCATATTTAAATATAGTGTTAATCTTAATCTAACCCCTAGAAACAGAATCTAAACTAGGAACATCATCGCTGTGGTCCAAGCACAGAGAGACAAAGGCATGAAAGAAACTGTGATTTTCTTTTACAGTTTACCACTATGGCAAAATCACTCATTCCTTTCCTCAGATCTCATTAACCTCTGTTTTCAGCAAAGAAAAACAACACAGCATAGCTATTATGGGAACTGTAGTAACTTATTTGCTGGCCTATGAAATGGAAACATTTGCTTTTAGTGATTAACCAAGAATGCCAAACGTATAAAAAAAAACAGATATAAAGCACAGCAACGCAGAAGCACTCTGTAGGGCACACTGAGGTCACAGTCAGCCATGCCACAGGTGAGGATGAACTCTGACACCTTTCTCTCTGATCACCCACAGAATGCAGACTTGTGATTTAAGACTCTCTCAAGAAAAACAAGGGCTTACTATAAATTGTAAGCTGTTCCTACACAGCCGATAGGTAAACCCACAGACTCACAACGTTCATTGATCTAACAGGTCGACCACAGTGGTGATTAGAGATTCAAGCTTTTTACAATTGCACATAAAGGCAATCATTTTATAAACTTGAGTTTAAATTAAGAACCCAGATCGACACAACGTATATATCAATACGTATATGTATATGTATATATGTTCACATTTCAGAAAACAGTTATACGACCCTCCCAAGCTACCTGAACTAGGTATATGTACTCTACACACTCACCATGTTGTTGCAGTGCAGGACTGAACTGTTTAACACCGGCTGTCTCACTAAACACCCCAAGTCGGAAATCCAGCGGCTCAGTGCACATAAAGTCTCCCTGTTGTTGCTGGTGCTTAAAATCAATAAAGAATTTAAATAAATACCTCCCTGCCACAATTATTAAATTCCTACATCAGTAACCACAATTGATTCAATCCAGCCCAGCTCCTTACTGTTTTCAACTGCTGTAGAGGTCACGCTAAGACCCTTAGCACCAGGTAGACCAATGCACTCGCCTGTTCAGAATGAAGGACACCGGTCATTCATTCTTTTATAAATATTGAGGTCAACCAGTTTGGAATCACTTAATTTTTATAACAATGTTTATTTATTTTTTCTCTATGCCAGTAACTAGAACTCCTCAGGGCAGCAATGCTATTTTCGTTTTCTTTAATTTTCTGTTCTCAGGCATTTTGTGAGACACACTGGGAAAATGAAAGGACCCTGCCTTCCGGACGAGTTGAACACGCACACGTGACTTCGTTGCAGTCGTGAGTAGTTTGAGGACGCAGTGTGAGTGGAGTAGTGTTGTATCTATTACCAGGACGTAATGAAATATGTTTTGAATATTTTATTGGGTTTTTTTTGTTATAATCTTATAACACGGAAAATAGTGAATGGAATTATTCTTACAGAGTATGCAAAATATATGTGCTGTTCTTTACCTGCGCCTTATGGTGTGTCTAAGCGGGGAAATCTGTAAATACCTACTGCTATGAAACATTGTACTGTTGTTATTGCTGGCGCTCTGCAGTGTACTGATAAAAAGTTGCTCGAAACGGGATGCAAAACAGTAAAACTTTGTCTCTTACGTACTGCATACATCTGTTCGTTTGATTTATCTGGCATTGCCTTAAACAAAGCTTTTATCTGTATGTAATATTGCTATTTGAAATGTGAAAATTCGTGTCGGCGGATGTACGAAATATTTCTACCGTATGAGTTGAGACTGCCTTTGTGCTAGTAATGGGATTGTTCTAGCTGCAATATTCATTCTTAAGCCACGTGAGTATGGTTAATGTTTCTATTAATCCATATTTTTTTCTGACTAAATTATTTTAATTGTATATTTGGCAAATGAATGGCAGCATCTGTTGGTCAGTGAGACTGTTCTTAACTGTGAAACGTCAACATTTGGCGGCATGTATCAGTATTACACTCATGCATCAGTATTAAACTCTCAGACCACTGTCGTGGTGATAGGTCTTGGCCATGTACAGATGCGTTTTGTCCTGTAAGGCTGAAGACGTGTTTTGAAGCTCATTCTTACGGCGTTCAGCCTGGACGAATCTGGGGTGATGCCTGCCATGGGACATACCGGATCCTTCTTTTAAGATCACTTTATTGGCCATATACAATGTCTTGTATTAGGAATTTGTCTTTTCACATACCCCAACTTGCTCTCCATGGGGTCAGAGCGCAGGGTCAGCCATTGTACAGCGCCCCTGGAGCAGCTGGGGTCGAGGGCCTTGCTCAGGGGCCCAACGGAGTAGGATTCCTCTGCCGGCCACGGGATTTGAACTGGCAACCACAAACAGCCACAGGCTCAGATCCTTAACCACAGAGCCACCTCTCCGCCCAAGTGATGCTGTGGCCTAGCCAGGACGTCTGACGTACTGCTTACAGTACGATAGTGGATAGTGGAAAGATACTCCCTTGCCAGCTATATCACCCTGCAACTCAACCAGTAGCTGGATGGGAGACCTCCTGGGCAAGCTAAGATTGCTGCTGGAAGAGGTGGTAGTGGGGCCAGGTACTCTACCTGTGGTCTGTGTGGGTCCTAATGCCTCAGTATAGTGACGGGGACACTATACTGCAAAAAGGTGCCGTTCTTCGGATGAGATGTAAAATGGAACACCAGACTCTGTGGTCATTAAAAATCCCAGGGCATTTCTCAAAAACAGTAAGGGTGTTACCCCAGTGCCCTGTCCCCTGGCTTTTGCTCCTAATAATCCCCATCTATGAATTGGTTTCCTCACTCTGTTCTCCTCCCCTCTGATAGCTGGTGTGTGGTGAGAGAACTGGTGCACTAGGATTGCCAGGTGGAGGTGCACACTGATGGTGGTGGAGCGGAGTCCTCATTACTTTCCACTTTCAGTGGAGTGTCCAGAAAAGCACTATATATTGTATGTGTAAGGAATTATTAATTTTGTACAGTTTTTCCTCTCTTTGGTCAAGTGACCAGTTTTTGGCTAGACTGTCCCCAGAAATCTAGGATTCAGACTAAGAGCATTGCTTTACACAACACTAGTGCTACTTCATGTTTGTGTAAAAACTTATTCCCTGCTATCCATTAAAAAACTACTGTTTCTTTGGTTAACATTCATAAAATCACTTTTGATTCAAAGAACAAAATGACTGCAATACAAACATCGTTAGCTTTAAAAGGGTGTGTAAAAAAAGTCACACTAAAGGTATTTCCCGCATATCATTGGCTAGCACATTTGGTACATGTCACATACTTATTTTGTATGTGCATGTACTGTTTTTTCTAGTTTTTCTGATTCTACTGTAACTCTAGTTGGGAAGGAAGTCTCGTCTTGATCATGTTTTTAATTCCATTACTACCATTAGACATGATTTGATTTTGTTTCTTTTTTGCAAGTAAGATTGTCTTAAGCCGTTTAAGTCAATAGAATAAAAATACAAATTTTCATTACTTTATTTTGTATGCAACTCAATATGTTTTACTAATCATGAAATGAAACTATGAGAGTTTCCATATATAAATGTGCAAAAAAGTTTGTGGCACATGTATTTGTACCGCGGTACACCGCAGTATGTTTTCCAGAGGTGGTACCCAACCCTAATTTTAAATGCTTAAAATATCGTAATAATTTATTTAAGAAAGAAATGCATTAACTGTCATTGAAATCACTATTTCAAATGTTTAAACGTGATATTTACATGATCTGTTGGGAAAGTCGGTCCGCTTGTGCTGGAAGAGGAAAAGTAAGTTGGTGAAGGGCAAGTAGTCTAGGAACCACATCAAAGCATTTTCCAAAGGAAAAGGAGACTCTGCACCCGGGATCCTGGTACAGTGGCTCCTTCTGTGCACCCGCTTCTCCACAGCTGCAAAGCCTTCCATGCTTTATTTATTCTTTGCAAAATAAAAGAAAATGACAAATCTTCTGGTTAAGAAAGGGGTTAAAGCAATAACGCAGTGATGCTGAACTGGATTTATTTAAATTTTTCCAGCCTATACAAAAACACATTTTGTTTCCATATCAAACAGTGACGCACATATCTTAAATTGCCCCATTGGGGATGAATGAAGTATTTTAAGTGTTACATTATGTTATTTAGGTTCAGCAGACAATACTGAGGATGCAAAAATTTAAGACCGCACAGCTGTATTTTGCACATACCATGGCTAGAGCATGATTCTTTTGAGGCCTGTTAAATGAAGGTAGGAGGCCTTTAAAATGTATACTACTGTATATTCCTGTACAATAATAGAAACACGCCTTTTCACATTTCTACCATATTATTAATTGTTGAGTTCAATAAAGATTAAAATCATTTTTCTGTGCTCTGTCCTTTACTGCTATTGTTTCTGTTTATACATAAGAATGCCAACTCCACATAAGGTTTCATTGTGTGATTGAATTGCATTAATCTGACATTGGAATTCTGTGAATCAGAGAACTTCATAGTCCATATCATTATCTTGAAATTGAAGTGAAGGTGTGTTTTTTTAAAACTAGTGTCGCTGTTCCAGTTAAGGACATGTGTGCTCTTTATTTTGTGTTTCCAGTTC